GTCATGTAGTAATAGAGGAAGTGCTCCACTGTGTTTTAAAACTCCATACACCTTCAACAGAATTCATTTGGATAATTTCAGCCTTGGAATTGCCAATCTTTATAGAACAAGGTAACAAGGTAAAAGGTAGCAACAACCACTACATGACATCACAAGTTGGAACTGAGCATTTTGAGCTTTGAAGATAATAGACTAAAAATGCAGAATTACTCAAACATGTGTGAATGAAACAAAACACAATTCCAGGTATGTTTTTGAGGAGGTAAAAGCATTTTTACATGACTAAAGGTTCAATGAGTCATTAAAAAAAAAAAAAAAGGACCTTTAACAGAGGCTTTTGCTATTTGCCATTACACTATACGCAAAATTGTATATCTTTCTAAGCCATTGATCTAAACTACAAATGGCTCATCAATATTAGCTGTAAATTTTTTTATTTATTTTATTTTTTAAATTTTTATATTGGGTAATTTATGGTCACATTCATTACAATATAGGGTTGCACTGACAAATTTTGTCAAAGTACCATGATTTCCTACACAAATAACCAAATGTATTGCTTTTTTCTGTATAAAGCCTCTAACCCTGTCATTTTGATTTGAACAAACATGTTCTGAAAAGTGATTCTTGTATTCGTCTGTCTCTTGTGAGCTTTAAGTACTGTGTTGTTGCCTCATGAAAAACATACCTCGAGTTGTTTTTTTGTTTTGTTTTGTTTTGTTTCATTCACACGTTTGAGTGATCCACCTGTCAATCTCACGCTCCGTCCTCCCCTCACTCGTGAACAAGACCCCGAGGTACTTGAACTCCTCCACTTGAGACAGGGACTCTCCACCCACCCGGAGAGGGCAAGCCAACTTTTTCCGGTCGAGAAACATGGCCTCGGACTTGGAAGAGCTGATTCTCATCCCCAGCCACTTCACACTCGGCTGCAAACCGCCCCAGTGCACATTGCAGGTCCTGGCCTGATGAAGCCAACAGGACAACATCATCTGCGAACAGCAGATGATGCAGTGATGCGGTCGCTGTATCGAACCATTGTGGTGAACAGGGAGCTGAGCTCTCGATTTACCGGTCAGTCTTCGTTCCTACTCTCACCTGTGGTTATGAGCTCTGGGTAATGACCGAAAGGACAAGATCATGGATACAAGCGCTAGAAATGAGTTTCCTTCGCAGGCTGGCTGGGCGCTCCCTTAGAGATAGGGTGAGGAGCTCAGTCTCACGGGAGGAGCTTGGAGTAGAGCCGCTGCTCCTCCACGTTGAGAGGAGCCAGTTGAGGTGGCTCAGGCATCTGTTCCGGATGCCTCCTGGGCGCCTCCCTTGGGAGGTGTTCCAGGCATGTCCCACCTGGAGGAGGCCCCAGGGAAGACCCAGGACACTCTGGAGGGACTATGTCTCTAGGCTGGCCTGGGAACGCCTCGGGGTCCCCCCGGAAGAGCTGGAGGACGTGTCTGGGGTGGAGGAAGTCTGGGAGTCCCTGCTTAGACTGCTGCCCCTGCGACCTGGCCAGGGATAAGCTGAAGAAAATGGATAGATAGATGGATGTTTGAGTGATCTGTTTACAGCTCCCAAGCTCAAAATACTCTGTTCCACCTTGTGATGTCATGAAGCGGTAGTTTTCGAGTTAACAGTCACCTTTTACCGTTTGATCAGCAGAGATTGGCAATTCCCCTGATTCTGTCTTTTTGTCAATTCTTCTGTACACGTTCAAACCGTAAATCAATATTTTCCCTCAGTTATTCAGCCCTATGCCCCATGTAAAAAAAAAAAAAAAAAACATATTAAGACAAATGTGACAAAAATAACAGCTTGAATGGTACATGCTTAATCAACTCCATCTTTGTTCATTCTGTATGCATTATTAGTAACAGCCTATTTAGAATAAGTAATTACACTGCATTGTCTTCAACAGTCTTTTATCCATCCATTCAAATTCAACACAATGAATCTCTCCACTCATCACTGAGCATTCAGCTACAATAAAAGTATATGGGGCTATTACTTATGTTCTTACTTATTGACATAGTGTTATTTTATATGGTTCACAGTGGGACATGTGCGGGGCCAATCGAAGCTTCCCGCTGCTACAAGTCCTGATATTGATCTGGCTATTGGTGGATACATGCACTATTTTACATGCACACTCACATAAACGTGCACTTTTTTCACGTGCACACTTTCGGTGGTCTGCAGGGGGTCGGAAAAATCTTTCACCGACACGTAACAGGCCAGGACCTGTGTCAGAGCAAGATATATCTGGTTAGGTTACTATTACAAGAAAACGTAATCTATTATAATTTCTGGGTATAGTTCCTTCTGCGCTTTTTAAATTGTACTTAAAAATTACACTTTAAATAGCTGTTAATGCATAAAAACAAATTGTTGATTCAGGTTAACTAAAAGGGCCTTTAGCCATTAAAAAAAAAAAAAAAATGTACAGATGTATCATTATAGCAGCTCCTGAGGTCAAAATAAGTCCACTTTGTGCTGTTTGCATGCAGTTATAAAGGGTTTTATTGTCTGATCATCAGGAACTGCATGGTTATCATGCTAGTTGTTCTTAGCATTACAGCTGTGGAAAGTGCTTATAAACTCATTGCAGTGAATAATTAGTGAGGAATAACTTTGGACCACTGCAAATCCTAACCTCTTAATTGTGACTAATCCTGAATAATTCTTAATAAAGTATTTGTTCATGCTTTATTAAGACAAATTAAGGTTAGTTATTAAAGTGGTATTTTGATTTTTACTAATAACTCAGCCATATTTGCATTTGAGAATAACATGGGTAACTGGCGCTTTGACATTTCACAAAATCTGCTTATTATTTCGTGTTTCTGTCCAATCCAGATGTTGTGTCATGGAACATGGACAGCCCAGGTCACCGAGTCCAACATGCTGTACCCCCTGTAGAGTTAAAGTGACAGCTATCTGTGGGTGTGCATTTTAAGCAAGCCTTCTGCCATCCCTCCCATCTGTATTTAACTAGCCCCATATGATATTAATATATTTAACAACCAATTAGTCCTGTGCATGCAGATGTCTCCCCTGTCCTGTCTTTGCTCTTGTTAAATGACATTAATGTGACCAGATTTACAAAAGTGTGCTTGTAGAAAATCTAAGTAAATTATTGATATGATTTTGAAGCCTGCATTTAAACTTTTTATTAGATAATAGTTAAAGTATTACTGAATAGACCATTACTTTAAAGAAGCACTATGTATTATTTCTCATGGAGGGTTGGCCACTTAAACTTATCCATCTCAATGGAGACAAGCAGAACAATGTACAAGTCAGATCTTTGGAGAGGTGACCCCCCTCCCACAAAACATACTCGGAGATGTGTTTTGTTTCATTCACACTTTTGAGTAACTATTTATTATTAGTCTGTCTGTATTGTGGTGTCATGAAGCGGTAGTTTTGAAGTTAAGCTATCTTTTACATTTTGTTTGGTAGAGAATGGCAATCGAAATGATTCTACTGAAGGTGTATGAAGTTTAAAAACACGGTGGAGCACTTCCTGTATTACCACATGCCATAACAAGTTGGAGTGTTTTCTGTGTGAGAGAAGAACTCAGCCCACTTTTGTGTTAGACGTGAGTGAAACAAGACAACTTTTGATGAAGAAACAACATTATAATAACATAGATTGGAAAACAGTGTAATATTGGCCCTTTTAACACGTCTGATACAGAAATGACATGTAAAATGAGGCAGTGATGGCTCAACTGCACCCTATACACTGCCACTATGGGGGTGTAAAGATCCAGCATGTTTCTCTATATCCTCGAACCAACAGGCCTCATGCCTCCCACTGGTATAGGCTGGTTCCTTACAGTAAAGTGGCTATTGTGTGATTTGTTTGATTGTGAGACTCTGAATGCACCTGGGACACAGCAGGAGGCCATACACATCAGGGCATGTCCCGGGCAACTAGGATTAGTTGTGCAGTTAAATGTGGGCAGTAGTTAAAAACTTCTGATAAAATATAAAAGGTGGTTTACACAATGTAATTTTGAATGTGTATGAAGCTATTCAAATGACTGACAACATCATAATGTATAAAATCACCTATGTAAATTTTTTTAGCTGAAAATAGTGATTTCATGCATTCACACCCCTACTTGCCTTCTCCCCATGGGTTCATTAGATTCAATGGAATTCAGTGACCCAGAAACTAATCCTAAATCAATTAGAAGACACACACTTGCATAAATCTGAGCGGCTAATTACAAAGGCAGGCTCCACCTCAGAGGAGGGGTCTTTTCTCTTTGAAGACTGACTAGACACTCTAAAATTCTCATGTTTTCAGTTCAAAAAAGTAGGTTAAGCCTGTTTTCTTGAGTGAAGTTTTATGTACTATGACAGGTTCAGATCCCATGATAACAAAGATTCCATTGTTTGTTTATACGTGGGCCTTCAATAAAGAGGTAGTTCATTTTTTTCTCTATATATGCAAACACCCTTAAGCCAGTGAGAATTTGATTAGTCGGCTATAAAGACTAAGTAGCAGACCTACTGTGATAGTCGGATGAATCAACATTGGCCAGCAGAGCACAGCAATGAATGTTGTTTAATTCACTCACAAATATTTTGCTGTTACTGAAATAGCCAGGACTATGCTACCTTAGATTATCCTCATTATTTTTGGTTTGGGGAAAAAAAAAATTGTCATAAAAGCTTAGTGCAGAAATATCACTACGATTCTATGCAATTGTAGTATAAGCCACTAAAATTAAAAAGATATATAATTATCATTGTAAGTTAGTAGCAGGGAACTATGTTTAGTAGCCATGATCTATGCACCTGCTGAGAAAGTTAGTGTTGCCTATTGTCAGTCAGAGCCGGGCATAATTTAGCACAATATAAATAACCTACTCAAGGTCCACTGTAGCTCGGTATTGTCTAATAGTAGCAATACCTTCCGAGCAATTGTGCAAGTTCCCCCAAATAGCCTATTATTTATGTTCAACAAAGGCCTGTGTAAATGGATCACTTCCCCTTTAAGAAAGTGACAGCAACAAGCGGCGGAGGAGCTGGTCAGGAACTGGCCAGGAGCGGACCACAGCGCACTGCAGGAATCTCAAACTTTTCCCAACACTTTACATTCCCTGGACAGCGATTTCTTTCCTCATCAGACGCTCATCCTGTTGGAATATTACATCAAAGTTTGGATTTAGTTTGTTTCGGGGAAAAATCGGATGCTACTGATGATATGGAGAAGGGAAAAGTTGCGGGGAGAAAACTTGTGAAATGATGCCCGTGCCACTGCATCCCTCCCTCCAAAGTTTAGCTAAGGTGGCTAACGTGAGCTAGCTAATTATTCTGACATAAAACAACTTTGATCAACTATTACCGACACCTCTACGGAGACAGTAAGTTCAATGACGAGCGTGTTTAGTGAATCCATCGCTTTTATCCTTGCCGTTGTGTCTTAGCCCGCTCACCTAACAGTATCGAGCTAACAGGACTTAGCCAAGTGCAGCTAACACACGGACTCTCCAAGTTTGATCAAGTTAAGCAATGTACACAGGTAGAAATGGCATGCGATGAAAAGCGTTTAGTTCACAGTATCTCCCCGTAGAATCGTGGTATGTTGGACAACTTTTCTGTCTTAATTTTGGATATAATTTTCCTGAAGTTGCTGGACTGAATTGGATTATCTTGGAGCATACCTTTGCAGAGACGAGCAGCGGTGCGCACAGCCAGAGGTATCAGTGGATGAGGCTCGTTCACCTACAGCAGTAAGTAACGTGACAAGTTTGTTGCAAATGTTGTCACGGAAAAATTAGATATAGGCTTAAATATACATAATCATAAGTCATTTAACAGAGTTTTTATTGTTAGGTTTTGTATTAAACTTTACAGTATTAAGTGATAGCAGTATTGACTTCTTCTATACAGGTGGGCAGTAGTTTTTTTATTAGTTCACTGACAGTACTGAGATAAATATGGTACTCCAGAAGTGTGCTAAAACATGCTTGTACCATAGTTAGAAGCAAAGTATAAAGTAAAGTAAAACATAAATAATTTCTTTTTATCTTGCAAATTATATCTTACACAACATTACAAAGGAAGTGTAATGTTGTGTAAACTATAGCTACAGGCTTTTTGTAATAGTTTTAGACAATATACGTGTTATATCAAATACCTGACAATAGGGATGTAATAATAACTGAAATATCGCGATATGGTATCGTCAAAATTCTCACAATAATATCGTGAACCATCACAATATATCGAATTACAAGTCTCTTTGCTTAAATTAAAGATATATGGTGCTGCAATAGCTTAAAAAATGATAGAGGGAACTACATAGACCATGATCCTTTGCTCCATTTGAGTGTAGCCTATAATAGATAATAGAAATAACAGTTCTAAGCACTTTTAAGTCTTTGTGCTTTGGATTAAGTCTTGTCAAGGCATTTCAGAGGAAAAAGTAGCATATTCACAGTTTTGTCACAATAAATATCCTACCATGAGATGTATATTGTGAAAATATTGTACCGAGAGATTTGGATATTGTTACATCCCTAATTGTGAGCCTCCCCACCATACTGTGAGCTTCCCCACGATATCGCAATAAATATTGTACCGTGAGGTTCATACCGTGACGATATCGTATCGTGAGACTTGGATATTGTTACACCCCTAATTGACAATATTGCTGTTTGAATATCTCCCACTTCCTCTTTCAAATGTTATATGTCTAATCCTAAATGTTAAAGATGACCCGCTAAAACACAGGAGGAACTTTGCTTTAAAGTGCTATGGTTATAATATGCTTCACAAAGCCTTCTATTCCAACACAGAATAAAACCCTCATCCAACCTAGTATACAGCATCCCATCAGTCAAACATTGGATCATTGGCCTTTAATATTTGTAACTACACTTCTAAATCATGTTCCAGAGCTCTGGGATTGCTCTTCATTGAACTGTTTCAAAAGCTGTCTGTGGAGAACTGACAAAAGGAATTTTTGACCTAATGTTTTAATACTTTACAAGGATTTTGTCAATGTTATTTTCTTATTCCTCTGCATCTGCAGGTCTTCATCAGGACCTCTACATTTTGGATCCTCCGGTTTTTCTTGTACTTCCTCAGAGCTGACCTGAGTTTTGGATGAAGTTCTACATGCCATGATGAAGGTGACAGTGAGCTTTGGGCAGACGGGGATTGTGGTCCCCTGCAAAGAAGGCTGGACTGTGAGGGACCTCATTCAACAAGCAACACAGAGATACAAGAAACTACTGGAACAGGTGAGCCCCCAAATACACCTACACTGGACCTCAAGCAAAACCAGTATATGCTTAGTGGCAATCTGAGGATAACGCATTACATTTAAAAAGGATAAGTATAAATGACTTAAAGAGCTTTCAACCATGATATAATTATCTTTCCTTCTTATTTACCCATTCGAAGTTTTCTTTTGAGTGATTCACACATTTGAGTAAGAATTACTTACTTCGTTCTCTAATGTTATTTATTTACTTAAACAGTGATACACGTAATATTTGACAGCATTGCGTAGCTGGCATGACCTACAGGTATCTATTGGAGGTGCTGACAGCATGTGGCACTTTGTTGTGATGAAATTTACAGCGATGTACCATAAAGGGGCAGATGGAAATCAGCACTGTGGTTTCAACAGGAACTCAGCCACCTTGTTTCTTTCATTAAGTTGTTTTAGATCAATATTGTGATTTAAATCCATGGTACACAGGTCGGCCTGTCACAGTAACACATTTTTAAGTGCAATATATTTCTAAAGAAAATACAGGCAATAAATTATAATATTTATAATAAACCATAAAGCAGAACTATCCCCCCAAAAAAGTATTCTAAATGTGCAATATTGTTGAAAGATATGAGCTGCATGAGTCATAGAAATTCATAATTCAACCCTCTACAGCTCAAATCTAATCACAGTACAGAAAAATAACCAACATTTTCCAATTTGTATAAAGAAAAAGTACCTGAGTATTGACCCCCAATATCATTGTTACATCTAACATTTGAACGATAACTCAATATAATAATTATCATGACAGGCCTATCCATTGTTTTCATGGATTCAAACTACTTAACAAATGATTTATTGGATTGTGACAATTCAACATACTATCTTCTTCGGTCTTATTTTGAGTGGGTAATAGCCACAGTTTCACCCCCAAAATCCCAAGTCATGCTCATTGATGTTAACTTGCCCTGTCACGCTGGTAGACATGAACAAAAGCTGCTAAGAAATGGTCCATATTTGTCTCATTGACCCCGGAGCCTTCACTTGCCTTGACTTCCCTGTGAAAAAAAGAAAAAAAATCACAAGTCTCATAATAGCATTGTGATGACCTCCTAAAAATGACTGATCGCAAAATATCTTTTTCCTTTTATTACTTTCGAGGAATTTTCCCCGTAGCCTTTAAAGCATTTCGATATCATAAAAGGACCATACGAGTGCTCAAAGTCTGGGGAAATTAGACAAAGCCGCGGAGGTCTAACTCTCCATAATTGCCCCATGAAAAATTAAAAGCATATCTGATTTGAATTGTGACGGTCCAGACAGTGGCTTATTCCTATTGTAAGTGTGTGTATGGAAATGAGTGCCTTTGGTGGTTTTCTTTTATGAGAGCTGTTGATTCCCGGCGCTATAGCCTCATGACCTCCATCAGAAGACCAAATCTACTCAGTGACTGCCTCCATATTGGATCCATTATTCAAAGAGCACACCAGATAGACAGGGCCTCAGCTGCACCAGAGCCAGACATGTGGCACTATAGTGTTGTTTACAAAGACAAAAGAAGCAATAGATGCACTTAAGAACCAGACTCTACCTCTTACCAATCTACTTTAGCTTTCATCTGCCCGTATATAGCACTGCTTAAGCCCGCTGGACACTTGTTTATCATACGTTTTATCTCCCCCATACCTCTAACAGTGCGGGCCAGTAACAAAATCTACATGGAAATGGCAGTATGTCCTGAACCAATCTTGCCATTCAGTTGTTGTGTCCTTTGGCAAGACAGTTCTCTTATTTGTTTGCTTATTGTGAGCTCAAATACTCTGTTTTGCATTATCTTGTTTATTAAGTGTTTTGTCTCCTCCTAAACGAGTAATATATCCTGCTGATATTGCAAAATAGACTGAAATGACTGTACTGCTTGGACAATTCCTGCTAAAAGCATTTTGACATTGTGCTGTTGTGCAAATCACTTAAGACTGTTGCATAAAGCATTGTTCAAGCTTCTATTCATCCTTTTTATCCTAAGGGCGGTGCGGTTTGAACAAAATTCACATGGAGATGGCAGGATATCTCTTGCTCTTCTGTTGTTGTGTCCTTTGGCAAGACACTTCACACATCTGTCTGCTTATGGTGAGCTCAAATACTAAAAGTTTGGACATTCTTATCTTGTTTATCATGTGTTTTGTCTCCTCCTATACCACTACTGTATCTGGCTGATACAAAATTGAGTGAAATTACTGTAGTGCTTGAACAATTCTTGCTAATAGCCTTCTGGCATTGTGCAGTTGGGCAAGACACTTCAGAGAGTTGCATAAAGCACTACTCAAGGTTCTATTCCTCCTTTTATCTTGTTTTGTTATTGTACATTTTGTCTCATCCTATACCAGTAGTATATTTTGCTGATATCGCAAAATAGGCAATTGAGGAGGCTGTAGCGCTCTGGCCATTCCTGCTATTAACCTTCTGGTATTGTGCTGTTGGGCAAGGCACTTGATAATACCTTTGCATAAAGCATTTTTCAAGCTTTTATTCCTCCTGTTAACGGGACTGGTCAGTAACCAAAATGTACAATATGATGTGTTGTCCCTTGCAGGTAGAGCTTAGTTAATGAACTTTGTCTTGCTTCTAGTTTTCATTATATGCTGTGTCACTTTAGACACAAGTGTCACAAGACACTTTACCACATCCTGCAGGATGTGTTACTGTTGATGATGCTGTTTTGTTTAGTTCTGGGAAAGGTTTTGGGTGATCAATAGTAGCCACATCTATGCCAATCTGCCCCAAGGCATCTATGGCTACTGAAAAGTAATTGATATTGAACTGTTAAACAACTTTTTGTATGTGACCTCACTGCATCACATGGCTGTGTTTTGGATCCTCAGTCTTTGGCGTGTTTTATCTCTTGTCTCTTCTTCCTCTTCTAAAACTTCCTCAATACCTTAAACTTCTCCTTTCTGAGCCAGACCAGTTCCCATAACTATTAGAAATAAATACCTAGGGACCAGATGTTGCTAGATTTCAGATGGCATCACAACATTCTATAGGCCTGTAATATTTAAAACTGATTTGGAGGTAGCTAAAATTATTGTTGAAAGAGATTTGTTGTAATAATGTGAGTTCTTGGGTTTAATCACTAGTGTAGTCATCAAAGTCAGGTTCACCATTTGTGTATTTAGCTTTTGGATATTTCAACAGAGTACAATGTAATTTATAGGACAAACTGGCTCTTGTCCCCAATCTGGGATTATAACTCTCTGAAAACTACCAATAGGAATTCTTTTTTGTTTACCAGCTCACTGCACTGCTAACTGTCCACACTGATTCTCTAGATGTCTGCTACTTTACAAATGGCTTGACATACCGCACATTTTTGTCTTATCTGTTTTGATTAAGAAGTTGTTTTTGTAGATAAATAAGATGTTCTTGTCCTTCTCTCACATTATCATCATTATGATTTGTCACTAAACTAAATTTGTATCCAGTTCTTTCTATTTGAGTAAAAAAAATGATTCATTGTGTAATATTAATATCACATAGTCTCTCATTTGCTATCAGCTCTCATCTCTTCAACCAATTTTTATGCTGAAGTACCCGAAATAGTACTTGATTCTCTACAGGTCATGGTTTTGGTTTGCGTGCTGTGGTGGGAAGTGAACTGGTTGCTAGTTAATGTTTTTTGAACCAAGGTCTGCCTGTTGCTATACAGTCAGTCATGTGTACAAAAACCAACCACACATCTATTCACTGCCTTCTCACGTGATGTTACTATGTTCTAAGATGTCTATTATAGTCTGAGTAGAAATAAAACAAATCTAATAAGTGTTTTTAATTACATGAGTAATATCTGTGTAATTATTTGGTCTTTACACATTAGAATGAAACTACCACAAAGTTTAATGTAGATTCTAATACGTGCAATTTTTCCCAATTCCATTAAAACATTTTTCATTTATTCAGTAACAAAGAATGTTTTTGTCAAACCAGTAACAAACACAAAATGATCAAGCTCTACTTTTGTGGATTATCTGTTTAAATATCTCTTTCATTCACAGAGTAATGTCTTTGATATTTTGGCAAATTCTTCAGTGCAGTGTATTTGTGGCATAGAGATATATACTCATACTAGTATCAGATCATAATACTCATTTGAACAAGTATCAATACTAAAAATGTCACATTCACAGGACAAAAATTAACCTTTCCTGAATTGTGAAACGATCTTGAGCTGAATCACTGCAAGACCACAGAGACTAATCTGCGTTTATCAACCACTATGGAATATACCTGAATGGTTGAAGGATTACACAGGTATAAGACCCTATAGAAATATAAAAGAAAGTACAGTTTAATGTTGAAAATTGCATTCTATTGTTTAAATACATATATACACATACAATAAATAGAGATTTTTAAATTATTATCGTGGTATCAGAATTGGTATTGAGTATATTTGGACTTTTTAGCGTCTCAGCTGTCAGTCTTAGATTTATAGCAAAGGCTGATATTTTGTTTTGGTCGATCAGCTGCCTTAAAATACACAGATAGTTTATTCTAACACTTTATTGCGACAGATAACTACTGCAAACATAACTGCACAGCTCTTTTACATTTTTGTTGTAAAAATTGGCTGTGGGTGAGTTTTTAGTGCATTTATATTGCATAACTTGTGAAAAAATAATCACAATCAGCTCTACATATTGGCCCAAAAATATAGTATTGAGTATAGATTATTTTCCTTAGTATCAAAGTCTAGTTTGAAGATTTTGCATCATAACAACAGTAGATATTTGTGACATTTTCTGTGATAATCCTCATACATTTTCATCTTGTTCTCTTGTTCGACACTTGGTTGATCACAGTTGAGCTCTCTGTAGTGAAGTCTCCCGGTGCGTGTGCCTGTAGCCTCCCTGTGTGCACGGCTGCTCCTCTCTGCTCCTCTCTGCTCTATTGATTAGCTCTCTGACTGTTTAAATGCTTTGTTTCCTGGCTGCGCGTGAATGAAACGCCTTGTTAAGCACA